CAAACACACACACTCACACCAGGGCCACTTTTCAGCCAATGTGAGCCAATTAACCTACTGTACCAGTATGTCTTCGGACTGTGAGAGGAAACCGGAGCACCTGAAAGAAACCCACACAAACACGGGGAGACTATACAAATTCCACACAGACAGCACCCCAGGAGGGCCCCAGTATGGCATGGCAGCAACCACTGTGCCACTCAAGTAATGAGATAAATGAAAACCAGAGTACTAGGCGAAAACTAAAGACTCAAAAAGTGTTGAATCACATCAAATAAAATATAGCATCAAAGTGAAGATACACTGGTGGAAACAAGATAGGAAGTGAACCTGTTACCTTTGGACCACAGGATCATTGCAGACACAGCTGTAATATCTTTGTACTACACATTGCTTGCATCTGTCACCCCAGTAGTCTAAAAGTGTTAACCTCTGACAGCCCTGCATCCTATCCAGAGGGCATCATGAGCTGTGAGTCTGTTTCATCGTACGCAAACCCTCTATAAGATCCAGCACCATATGAACACAGCCAGCGTCAGACTTTAAGCAAGGCCACAAGAACAACGCTTTGCGTTGCTTCTGAGTTAATAATGTACAGGGCAGCAGATGTCAGTAACACTGACAGGAATACGGTGTTAGTGCCAGTGGAAGAACAATCAGCTAGCCTGTTCTGCACTGAAGTGTTAGTACAAAGGGACAGTTCTTAGTAAGACCTGCTGGACGGTTGTAAGCACTGTTGTGTAGCTGTGCCAGGACTTGGGGGTCACAACAGACAATATGATTTCCGGCTGTTCTGGCGAAGACTTCAAGAGGAGAGAAGCCTGGAAGTACCTCTGCTTGCCCTCCCTTCGGACGGGGAGTGGTCTGCTCTCTAATGGAACGCCATCAAAAATTGCAAGGAGGACGCAATTGAGCATTTCGGGTTAGCCTACATTTCCAGTGTGGGAAAGCAGACCAGAGAGAGAGTATTCTGTGGTTACCTTCACCCACTGCGAGTTTGTAGACTGTTTTCAATGAAGTCACAAGAGAGGAACTAAAAAAAGATTAGCTATACCGTAATTTGCATTTATAGCGTCCAAGTAGATATTTCTACTAATGGAATCTTTTTTTTATGTGGTTAATAAAAAAAAATGAATGGGAAGCTTTCCTTTCCCCTTTCCTGATTATATTACATTTTATTTATTTCTGTTAAAAGAATGTTTCCAATAAAACCCTTAGGCAACAGCGGCCTGATTTTACAAGTTTTTATGTGTGGTTTATGAGAAAGCAGCGAAAGTGGACACCACAGTGTAAGCATGATACCAACAATATTTCACTGCACCCAATCTCTCCCTCCTCCTATGCTAAACGGCTAGCTCTGGTAGATAGAGAGGAGGAGAAAGCTCTCTTGCACTTGATTTGATAATGGCGGCATTGTTTGGGGGAGAATTGATAGACATTGTCGAAGAAACATAAGAACTCTCAGGAGCACTGTCAGGGCCTGCCTCAGTCAGGATGAACTGGGAACCGTTTTGTTCCAAGTTTTGCCAGAGGATGTCCACCAATAACGAGGAAGTGCTGGTCTGAAAGGGATATCCACTCAGGTTGTGCCGCGCGACACTCAGCGAATGTTTTTAATTTGGAGATTTATATCACGAACAGATGTAAATTAAAGATATAATCGCCCTTCCCCCACCTTGAGCAATATTAATTCAATGGGGTTCGAAGATTATGTGGTGCCGTTAAAAGATATTTCAATAACTGTCAAAGTTGACATATTTCTCTTTCTGGGGTGGAAAAAAAAAGAAGGGCGTCATTTTAAAGAGCTGTGTCGTAGAGTTTTTAATATAAATATTTTATTTCCTCCGACGCGAAAAACGACAGCTGCTAAAATCGGCTTTCTCCCTTCCCTGGCACGGAAACCGCAGTCGCCGAGCTGGGCCGTGCCGAATTGACGGAACCAGCCCGGCTGACATTCTCGGGCACCCGGAAGGGTCCCGCTTTCCTCGCTCAGTGCCTGAATCAGCAGACCACCTCCCTCGTCATGTCTCCGGTACCACCTGCCGGTATCGAAACAGATCCCGCAGCCAGGTGGAGCAAGAGGTGTCGAGTGTGTGACAGCCCCCAGCTAATCTCAAGTGCCGCGGCAGTTTTCACTTAAAACAACTCTGTTTCATATTACTGTGCTCCAAGGCACCTGTAAGGAAACACACATGGAAAAAAAAAAACAAAGTCTAAAAATCCTAAGGCGATGAATCTTTGCCAGACTGTGATGCATTTGGTTGTTGTTTTTTTGTTGTTGTTGTTGATTTGTCTTGTTCCATTTTTTACATTTTTTAAAGGATAAAAAGCACAAAGGATTTCAGGAAGAATCACAGCTTCTATCAATTTAGTTAAAAGAACAGGGTAACATTCAGTAATCTTATGGCTGAGTCACAAATTTCTCAATCTCCAAGGGAGAAATTCTTTGAATGCTTTTTTGTCGGCCTAGTTTCATGCGTTGTAGTCTGCTTATTTTTAAAAGCCTCCCTTTTCCCCAGTTCTTACTGTAAGACTTTTACTGTTAGTTTCTGTTGATTTATTTTTAGCAAAAATGTGTCAGACTGGTCTCAAACAGTAAAGAGCTTCAACATTGCAGCTGCTAGCTCAAAAACTAACTTTGGTGGTGAGTTTCATCATATAAATTTGACTTAAGGTGTTACAATGTTCACGTAAACACAGTACACTACAAGTGCCCTATATTAGCCATGATATTTTTAGGGTTTTTTTTCTTGGTCTTGTTTCTAGATTTGTTTGTGGCACTAGT